TGGGGGTAGAGTTTGGGTCCTGGGTGTGGGGGTAGATTTAGGGACCCGGGTATGGGGGTAGATTTTGGGTCCTGGGTGTTAACATCGGGATCCTGGAGGGAACCAGAGGAGGAGAGATGTGAACAAAACCAGCCCACGGTGGGAGAAATGAAGGGGAGAGGTTTCTTCTTTTCCCGTACCCCCCCCATCAGTGGTCTGCTTCCCCCCCCACCATCCACCTATCCAAACTGCACCCCTCCCACACATCTAATGCCCTCCCCCACTCAATGGAAAACCCCTCCAGCCAAACCTGGAGGATTTTTATCTGCTGGTGACCCTGTTTCAATGTCACGCCTGTTTTGTTGCTGTGTCAGCAAACACTGTCTTCAGTATATTTGTCAGGGTATGATTTCCCCTTCGTGAAGCCACGGTGACTGTGCTGAATCATGTTATATATTTCTAAGTGCTCAGCTATTACATTCAATGGAGAGTGCAGGAGCGTGCCAGGAACATCACAAGGCATACGTGAAAACGAGGTGTCAACACTGGGCAAAAAACATGCCAAACAGCAGAAACAGCTTCCAACAGATCAGATCTAAGCTCTGCAGTCCTGCCACATCAAGTTGTGAATGGTGGTGGACAATTAAACAACTCACTGGAGGAGGAGGCTCCACAAATATCCCCATCCTCAATGACTCAGTGCAAAATATAAGGCTGAAGCATTCATAAAAACATACGAAAAAGGGAAAAGAGTAGGTCATTCAATATGATTGTATTTGATTATCCAACTCAATACATTGCTTCTGTTTCTTCCCCTCATCCTTTGATCTATTTAGCCCTAAGACCATATCTATCTCCATCTTCACAATAGTCTTCAACCAGAAATGCCAAGTGGATGATCCATTTTGACCTCCTCTGGAAGTCCCCAACATCACAGATACCAGTCCTCAGCCAACTCAATTCACTGCACATCATACCAAGAAACGACTGGAGACACTAGATATTGCAAAGGCTACGGGCCCTGACAACATTCTGGCAATAGTACTGAAGATTTGTGCTCCAGAACTTGCCATTCCCCTAGCCAAGCTGTTCCAGTACAGTTACAACACTGGTATCTACCCAACAATGTGGAAAATTGCCCACGTACCTCCTGTACACAAAAAGCAGGACAAATCCAACCCGGCCAATTCCCGCCCCATCAGTCTCCTCTCGATCATCAGTAAAGTGATGGAAGGTGTCACTAACAGCGCTATCAAGCAGCACCTGCTCAGCAATAACCTGCTCAGTGACGCCCAGTTTGGGTTCCGCCAGGACCACTCGGCTCCTGACCTTGTTATAGCCTTGGTTCAAACATTGACAGAAGAGCTGAATTCCAGAGGTGAGGTGAGAGTGACAGCCCTTGATATCAAGGCTGCATTTAACAAAGTGTGGTATCAAGGAGCCCTAGCAAAACTGGAATCAATGGGTGTCAGGGGGCAAACTCACCTCTCGTGGGAGTCATACCTGTCACGTAGGAAGATGGTCATGGTTGATGGAGGTCAGTCATCTCAGCTCCAGGACATCTCTGCAGGAGTTCCTCAGGGTAGTGTCCTCGGCCCAACCATCTTCAGCTGCTTCATCGATGACCTTCCCTCCATCATAGGGTCAGAAGTGGGGATGTTCGCCGATGATTGCACAATGTTCAGCACCATTCGTGACTCCTCAGATACTGACGCAGTCCATGTTCACATGCAACAAGATCTGGATAATATCCAGGTTTGGGCTGACAAGTGGCAAGTAACATTTGTGCCTCACAAATGCCAGGCTACGACTATCACCAATAAGAGACAATCTAACCATCGTCCCTTAACATTCAATGGCATTATGATCACTGAATCCCGCACTTTGAACATCCTGGGGTTACTATTGACCAGAAACTCAACTGGACTCACCACATAAACACAGTGGCTATAAGAGCAGGTCAGAAGCTAGGAATACTATGGTGAGTAACTCACTTCCTGACTCCCCAAAACCTGTCCACCATCTACAAGGCACAGGGCAGGAGTGTGAAGGAATACTCCCCACTTGCCTGGATGGGTGAAGCTCCAACAACACTCAAGAAGCTTGACACCATCCAGTACAAAGCAGCCGCTTGATTGGCACCACATCCACAAGCATCCACTCCCTCCACCACCGACGCTCAGTAGCAGCAGTGTGTACTATCTGCAAGTTTTACAGCAGAAACTCACCAAAGATCCTCAGACAGCACCTTCCAAACCCACAACCACTAGGAGGAGAAAGGCAGCAGACATCTGGAAACTCCACCCCCTGCAAGTTCCTCTCCTAGTCACTCACCATCCTGATTTGGAAATATATCACCATTCCTTCAGAGCCGCTGGGTGAAAATCATGGAATTCCTTCCCTAAGGGAATTGAAGATCAATTACAACACGTGGACTGCCGCAGTTCAAGAAGGCAGCTCACCACCACCTTCTCAAGGGCAGCTGGGGACAGGCAATAAATCTGGGCCCAGTCGGCAATGCCCACAGCCCATAAGTGAATAGAAAAAACAATGCAAAATTTAAAGCAAAACAGCACCAGGCTTATTTAATGAGCCCAACAAGTAAAAGTGTATGAATTAGTATCAGGAAGAGACCAGTTAAGCCTGCTGTATCATTACTAAGTTCATGGCTGACCTGATTGTACCTTCAAATCCACATTCCTACTTATCCCGATAATCTTTCATGCCCTGCCTGCCATGAATCAATATACCTGTGATTTTAAAATATTCAGTGACTTTGTTTCCACCACCTTTTCAGGAAGAGAGTTCCCTCTATAAGAAAAGAAGTTTGCCTAATCTCCATTTTCATTTAAATGGGTGACCCCTGATTTTATACAGTGAACCCCTAGTTCTAGATTCTCTCATAAGAGGACATATCCTCTTCATATCCATACTGTCAAAACTCTTCAGGATCTTATATTTTTCAGTCAGGTCACCTCTTGCTCTTCTAAACCCCAGTGAGTATAACCGAGCCTGTCCAACCTTTCCTCAGTAGACAACCTGCCATTCCACGTGTTAGTCTCATAAACCTTCTCTGAACCTCCCCCAGTGTGTTTGCAATCTTCATTTAATAAGGTGACCAAAACATTACACCATTTCTGAAGAAGGGTCTAGGCCCGAAACATCAGCTTTCCTGCTCCTCTGATGCTGCTTGGCCTGCTGTGTTCATCCAGCTCTACACCTTGTTATCACAGTACACAGTACTCCAGATGTGGTCTCACCACTGCCCTGCGTAACTGAATTATAACCTGCCAACTTTTTATTCTGTATTAATCTGTTTATTATCAGCAAAGGTTATTCATAAAAAGGCATCCAACTCTGGTTAAAATCTCCTTAAAAGCTTTGCTTATCTTTTCACCAAATTCCCCTGATTTTTCTATAAACTGTAGCTGCCCTATGGTACACACGAAGTTGATGACTTCATTCATTGATATTACATCTCAGTGAGATAAAGCACTGGAAATTGCGCTGTGCTATTTCTGGGCGTGTCTTAGCAGTTACAGATTTTATAAAGCATACAGAATTCTGTCATTTCCCTGACCTTCAGGCCCAAATTGACAGAAAGCATGAACCAGGTTTCACACACACACACTCTCTCCCCCCCTCACTCACTCTCAAACACACACACACACACATACATGTGAATCTAGAGGGTGAATTTATATTTGCAGATATATTATATTTTGTTAAAAAAGCACACAGTTATAGACAGCCAGTCAATATGGTGGTTTATAAATTCCTACTTTAGAAATAAAACCAGTCTGACTCCAAACTAAAACACAAACAGATTCTAAACAAGGCCTCACATCTAACATGCATTGACCGACCTAAAACGTCACCTCTTCTTTTCACTGATAAAGCCTTTTGTTCTCTCAGGGCAGTGACTTGAAAGGAATTCAGGCATTTACATATACATATTATTCAATTAAAACCTTCTAATTATTCTAAACCTTGTAATGATTAAAGGTTTAACAGCATCTTAGGTTTGTTTAGTACATCCTCATCAATGGTGTGAACCTTTGATCTTTTACTTATAAATTCTGTGTCTGATACTCCCTCTTTCACTAATACCTGAAGAAGGACTGAGGCTCCGAAAGCTCGTGTTTTCGAATAAACCTGTTGGTCTATAACCTGGTGTTGTGTGATTTCTGACCTTGTCCACCCCAGTCCAACACTGGCACCTCCACATCATGTATTACAACCAGTTTGACTCTAGCTACTGTTAAACAGTTATAAACCAATGTCATATAATACTGCTAATTAAATCCCCTTATAAACACCCCTCTCTCTCACTCACAAACACATACACACGCAGTAAAATAGATTAGAGACAGAGGGGAAAGACTGAAAGGACAATTGTCCATTGTGTTTTTGTTCCCAGGTTCTGTTGTTGAGATGATCTTTATGGCTGTTCTGCTGGCCAGCACCTTGCTTCAGTCATCCTTCTCCAGATGCTTCCACTGGTTGGTGTGAGACACAATGTAATTACACAAAGATTTTAAAAGCCAAATATAATTGTTTTAACATAAACAGCAAGAATTCAACTTTTTACTCATCAGTATCCTTTTCAGATGATCAATTCCAGAGAAATATCCTGCTATCCTAAGTGTTTATATTCTTACATAACTGCTTCCTTCCCATTGTCCTTCTTGGACTGCTGAAGCAGGTTTAAAACTTACTTTTGGATCTGAGGGCCTGGATTCCTTTTCCATTCTGACAAACTCTCACAACTTGGAGATTCTACAAACCTCAGAAGCTGCCTCACTTATCGAATGACCTGCTCTCATGTACTGAAAATCTTACTCTTCAGTCTGAATGAAATTCTTCTTTAACTAGGATCAAATTGAAACCTGATTCTTCTGACCTGAGCTCTTACTAAATAAGCAGTGACCTGTGTTCACCTGTATTTCGGTATGTTATAAACTCAACAGTGTAAACAGTTCATCAGTGATCATCTGAGGTGTAAGCTTAGGTAGTTAGTAAGTCACAAACTTCCTTGGAACCTATGTACCAGATGGCTTTCTGGCCTCTTTTAAAAGAAGTCACCTTCACAGATCTGAAACGAAATATTATCAACTTCTCTTTTAAAAATCCATGCTCCCAAATGAGAATCTATTAATAGACTGTTATGACAAAGATCCCATTAAATCTTAAAACCCAGGGATCTTCAAGAACCCATAGCTCACAGTAAACCTATAGATTATAGTAAACCCATAGATTCCAGGAAACCCATAGATCACATTAAATCCAAAGGTCACAGTAAACCTATGGATCACAGGACACTCATAGATTACATTAACCCATTGATCACATTAAATCCAGAGATCATATTAAACTCATAGATGGGAATTAAGCCATAGATCACAGCAAACCTACAAATGTCTTCAAGATTATATACTTTATTAAACATACAGATGGTACTGAAGCCATTCAGGAGATGAAGATCTGATTAAAAACCAAAAGAGCTGTGGATGCTGGAAATCAGAAATAAAAACAAACTGCTGGAAAAGCTCAGCAGGTCTGGCTGCATCTATGGAGAGAAATCAGAGTTAATGCTTCAGGTCAAGCGACCCTTCCTCAGAACACTGTGGGTAAGTAGAATCAGTTCTGATGAAAAGTCATGGCACCCGAAACGTTAACTCTGATTTCTGTGCACAGATGCTGCCAGACCTGTTAAAGATTTGATTGCTGGTGTTACAGGCTGTTATTCTGTGATTTTCACAGGTGGTCAAAGTGGGCATCGTGGAACAATCCCTCTCAGCATCAGGTACGTCACATATTCTGATCCGGCTCACATCATTCAGTCCCCAGATTCGTCTGTTTCAAAGGCAGGCAGTGCTTTGGAGCATTTCATAAATGATTCCCTGGCTAATTCGGTAAATGTGCCTCTCCATGTGGTAATAAACTATACAAACCACAAGATTCACGTTTCACACCCAGTTCCCTGCTTGTTTATCAAATGAGTGGGTAGAGTCAGTGATGGGGGGAGAGTGTACACGGAGCTGTGGGTAGAGTCAGTGATGGGGGGAGAGTGAACACGAGGCTGTGGGTAGAGTCAGTGATGGGGGGAGAGTGTACACAGGGCTGTGGGTAGAGTCAGTGATGGGGGGAGAGTGCACACGAGGCTGTGGGTAGTCAGTGATGGGGGCAGAATGTACACGGGGCTGTGGGTAGAGTCAGTGATGCGGCAGAATGTACACGGGGCTGTGGGTAGAGTCAGTGATGGAGGAGAGCGTACACGGGGCTGTGGGTAGAGTCAGTGATGGGGGGAGAGTGTACAC